ATTTGAGCCAAAATTTTTAGAAGAACTGACATCTGAAAGCATCGAAACCACCTCAATCCTCAAGTATTTCAATTACAGCTCCAGATGCTTCGAGATTTTTATAAAAATTAACATTTTAAATTCATCAAAACCCCCTGAATCCTTCCCAGTCACATCAGTCATAGCCCCAGCGTTTCGAGATTTTCAGAAAAACTGACACTTCTAAACATCGAAATCACCTCATCCTTCCTCAAACACCTCAATAAAAATTCCTAATTCATGGACGTTTTTAGAAAAACTGACATTTCTGTGCATCAAAGTCGCCACCTCGGCTCTTCTCACATTCACCGCATTCGCATCCCCCAGCACGTTGAGATTTTTACAAAAACTGATATTTGAAAACATCGGAATTACCTCACTCTTCCTCAAATGTCTCAGTATTAGTCCCTGATAGTTCGAAACTACGATGTGTCAAAAAAATTGTCCAGATAACCACCGCGGATTTTTCGGCATGACCGGATTACAGCACAGCTACTAATGAAACAAATTTACGAACGATTTTAATATAACGTGTCACGCAAGAATGAATAGTACCTCAAAAAGCATTCAGTAAAATATGTATTCCAAATCGTATTAAAAATATTTATTCCGGCCTCAGCTGCTAAATGCAACAATTTCTCAATCTGTAGGTTCCAGCTTTAACTCGGCAGTGAAAAAATCAATCCTTCTAGGATTCTTTCACTGGTTTCGTTGGCAAATTAGTACTGGCACTTATCAGCGGGTTAAATCCGCTAAAAGCTTGCTTCTCAGCGGCTCTCAAAAGAGGAAGCCATTGATAACTTTGCCAGCGTGTGATTGCTGATGGCTCTGGTACATCTGAATACCTTTGCTTTTCACAGAAAGTAAGTATGGGGAGGGTGCTGATACTTGACTTTTTTTTTAGTTATTAAATTTTCAAAAACTACGTTCAAACTTGAAACTCAAACTTTTTGGGATTTTTTCCTGCAAAACGCTCCGTACGTAAATAATGATAACTGTATTTGTCTTTTATTAGCAATTTGGGGACAAAGTGCTGGGTTTGTACTGACTATTTCGAATTAAATTTCATATTTACTTTTCACTCAAATTTTGAAGGACATGTAAAAAAGTGACCACTCGAAGCGCTTTCGCAAAAAAAATGTCCAATTTTTAAAAACAGTGGAATTCGACAATAAAGAATGAGCGTAACACAACAGTCGATACAGAGGAATAGCTGTGTTGACGTCCAAACCAAAGACATAACCTCGATGATCCGAGCAGTAAAAACATTCTTTGGAAACAATGAATGAAAATGATACCTGATTTCTGAGGTGCTGCAACAGGACCGGGCTACTCAGTTCGAATGCACTGGCACCTTCATCAAACTGGAACATCTTGGTAGCCGGGGCAATAAGCGCCGCCAGGGCAGCTGTCTGAATACGAGCTGCATCCAGGTCTGCTTCAATCTGTTCCAGAGCACGAAATGCCTGCAGATGATGCACAATTAGCCAAATGCTTCAGCAAGCTTAATTTGTGTGAAAATTTGTTCCGAATGTATTAGGGCAAAGTGTCAAGAGCTCCAACTTTTTTATACATATTAA